GTAGCCCTCCGCTGGACTCTCTCCAGTAGCTCTTCATCTTTCTTGAACTGGGGAGCCCAGAACTGGACACAGTACTCCAGATGAGGCCTCACCAGGGTAGTGTAGAGGGGAAGGAGAACCTCCCTCGTCCTGCTGGCCACACTCTTCTTGATGCACCCCAGTGTCGTGGTTTTAGAGGTGGATCCCTTTGTGCCACCAGCCCTGACGGCACTGCAGCGGACCGTGGCCTGGTTCTTCCTGCGAGCGAGAGATCTGCCCCCCGAGATTATGTCGGGTCGCTCAGGGCGTTGGGCAGGACGCTGTGGTGGCACCCGCACCTTCCCAAACCACATTCTCGGAGTTGTTGGTAGCTCCTTTGCTGCTAAAAGCCTGCTCAGTGCTTTGGGATGTAACCACAGCCCGGGTTTGTCCTAGGAGTGTGAATGACCAATGCCTGTGTTGTTCCGTTTCAGAGGAATGCTCTTCAATGGAAAATGGAATGGCGTGTGAAGGGGCTTCACTTAAAAACGTCAAGGTGAAGGAAGAGGAGCCTGAGGAGATGCAAGAGGTTTCGGCATCTTCTCCCAGCTCAGAGATCCGGAAATGCCCCAAAAGGGAGCAGGTCAAGGCCAAGAGCAAGAAGAAGCCGAGCCGGTCTGAGAGCAGCAGCCTGCTGATGGGCAACTGTCGACGTGGCTACGTGCGCGAGTGGTCGCACCCCTGCACCGAGTGCGGGAAGCGCTTCCGTCTGAAGATCAACCTCATCATCCACCAGCGGAGCCACGCCAAAGAGGGGCCCTACGAATGCACGATGTGCGAGATCAGCTTCGCGGACAAACGCCACCTGGACCTTCACCAGAGCATCCACATCAAAGACAGGGCCTTTGGGGCCAAGGTCTGGGGGAACGTCCACCCGGAGCTGAGGATCCGGCCGAGGAGGGATTTCTGCAGAGGTGCCTACAGCGTGGGCAACGGGACCTACGCTGGGGGGTCCTGGCTGGGCCAGGCCAAGGAGGAGCTGGACAGAGGGAGCCTGCCCGGCGCCTGTTTGTCCCAACAGCAGTCTCGTAGCAAGCCTGTGCTGAAATGCAGGTTCTGCAAAAAGAGTCTCTCGTGCACCTTCTCCCTTCAGCGGCACCTGCAGACCCTCTTGCGGGACAGGCCGTATTGCTGCGCCGCCTGCAAGAAATGCTTCACCCGCAGAACTCACCTCTCGCGCCACGAGAAGATACACGACCGCCAGAAAGCCCTGGCTGCGCTCCAGCAGCCCGCGACTAGGATATACTGGTTCTTAGCACTGCCCAGGAATTTTGCTCTTCAGAAACACAAGGTAGGGTTATGTTCCTCACACAGTGCAAGAACCTCAGCACTCCAAGGGGAAGAGGATGACAGGGCAGTGGCACTCGCTTGTTCTTCATAAATATGTGTTTAGGAGATAGCAGCTTAGTGCCAGACTATTGGGTGTATATTCCCATCTATATGTGTGTGTGCGCATGCGCACGCATGCAGTTTCCTTTTTAACAGCAAGCTGCAGGGGCGACTGAGAGATGAATGACAAGAAAGATCCGAACTGCTCTTGTTCCCTAGAGAGAAACTGTGAGCGTTGATTTTGCACATGGTGGGACACTGGGGTTGTGAACCATCTGTCCACTGGATTTTAGGAGTGTTCCTGAATTGTAGAAGGAATCGAAGGCTTGGATGCCACGGTGGAGAGCAAATTACAGAAGCCTCCAGTGATCCCAAATGCTTTACCATTCCTCAGACTCTCGTGTCCGCTGGCTGATGCATGAAATGTCCCCCGGCTGACCTTCCTGGGAGATCACCAGGTCTCCTGCAGCCCAGGGAGACGAATTGCGGTCGGCAGCGGAGCTCACCCATTACTCGACGCCGGAGCTGACCCCTCGCGTTTGGAAACACAATTATACGGTGAAGAGGACAGAGACGGGAATCAAGCTGGCGAGCCAGGCGGGATTCCCACAGAGCTCTTCACTGACAAAAGTTTCTTGACCAAGACGCCGGATGAAGAGAGCGTGGGCATCTCCGAGCCCCCATCGCATCCTGGCCGCGCTTGTCTACCATCCCACCCTGGGGAGGAAACCTGCTGACCCCTCCATCGGGTTGGGAACACCCGAGCGTTGCATCGGAAGATCCGTAGAACAAACCAAACCCCGATGATTTCTGCCTGCCAGGGTGCCGCGGGTGTTTCCCAGGTCCCAGCAGCACCCATTCCTTCAGCGAGGCCGGCCCGCGAGAGCCAGGAGCACCCACGAGAGTTCATTCCCTCAGGACCAGCCTGCACAGATAGAGAGTCACTTTAGAAACCCTTCAAGGGTCA